CTATCTTTGTGGGATGCAAGAGGATGGCAGGACCTCTCAGTGACATTGTAAAACCTGGACCTGCTGGGAAAGGCACATGAAGCGTTCAGTTAGGATATATTGAGTTTGAGTATGTCAAGTTCATATTTCAAGCATTATTTTTAGCAACTTCCTGTTTGCCCGTAGTGTGTTATGACTTAAAAAAAAAAGGTGGTCATCAGAAAAGAAAGGTCTCTATTCAATATAAAATGTGCTTTCAAGAACAACATACATAGTTTCTGTCAATGACTTAAAAAATGTAGAAGGAAAATTCAAAGAAGGTCAGCTTTAATTGTAAGTAAATAAATGAGCAACAGCCAGAAGAATGAAAAGAAAAGGTGAGATGCTAACAGCATTCCAGCCACACGGGTGTCCTCAGATCACTCCTGGAGCTGGAACCAGAAGGAAACATTGGCCAGGCGGTGCTTCCAGAGAGAAGCATCAACTTGAGATCGAATTGCGCTGTTCCTTCTGAAGTTAGAAAAAGGAAAAAGACTCTTGATGAAGTGCAGATAGTGGTTTGGGCTTGTCTCAATGTAGGGAGCACATTGCAGTTCATTCCTGTGATTCCTTGGCAGTGATTTCAGTATGACAAGAAACAATGTGGAGAAGGGAGAGAGAAAAATAAATTCACACATGTTACCAAAGCTTTACTACCTTCTCACCCTAAACTTTTAGCTATAATTTTGAAAAACTCCCCATGGAGTTTACTGTTCCCCTTTCTTTGGAGAGCTTGCTGACTAGGGAAAGATTTCAAAGTATTACTGAAGCCAGTTTGAATCTTTTGCTCTTTGCTTTCCTCCCATGGCCTGTCACTTGGGCAGAGAAGAGGGAGAGAGTGTGATTACATTCAGCCTTTAAGGAAGGGAGGGTCAACTTTTATTTTCAGGATGACCAACTGGAGGTCTAAAATTTGGGAAACTGTTCAATGTCCATGGCTATGTTGACCATAGCCCACAAGTTTGGTCATAATTTAATTTAAATTTAATTTATTCATTAATTCTCTTTTGTGGCAACATAGGAGATAGCACATCTCCAAATTTCTCATGATTCCCAAAGAAAAACCCTAACGTGACTTTTCTTCCATGTTATTGCCAGATTACATTTTAAGAAGTGCTCCTTGAAACTGTGTCTCCAGCACATGAAAGAAAATAGACATTGTTGGTGTAGGGTGCTGTTGAAAGGCATTATCTCATTATCCCTCTGGAATGGAAATGGCTTCAGAGTTGGACAGAATTGTTTTGGGGACGGGAGATGAATACTGTTGTTTTCCACATGGTGACCAGTTACTTTGGTCCTGCATTGATTGCCTGAGCCTGTTCGGTGTCTCTCATCTGCCTCTCTCCTACAGCACCTCTGCCCTCTACTGTGAACATGCTGAACTTCTCTGTGTCTGGGTTCCTTCCTAGTGATCTCACATGGGACTGTCCTCAGTGCTGGCTCCAGACCCTCTGCTGGGAAGTGCCCTGGGAAGCCTGGGTCTCCACCCAGCTTCACCCACTGAACCTGGGCCCGGGTCCTCTCTGCCTTTCAGGGTGCATCTGAGGACTGCTTGTTTGGTATCACCTTTCCCTCTAAGACAGTGGTTTTCAAACTTTTCTTCACTGTGACTCACAATAAGAATCAAAGTGGACATCACAATACAATGTACACATAACTTTAACTCTACATATGTAGACATGTAAGTAAAAGTTGCACAGATCACCCCTTTATTTAAGTCATGCTTTGTAATCTAGTTTTCCCTAATCTATTCCATTCCATTAAATGACACTAAAAACATGCTGGTGATAACCCATGTTCATTCTACAACTTATTAATAGCTTATAATTTGTAATTTGAAAACTCTGCCTTCTCTGTGGCTAGGTCTTCCAGTACTATTGTTGAAGAGAAGTGGTGAAAGCGGACATCCCTGTCTTGTTCCTGTTCTTAGGGGAAATAGTTTTAATTTTTCCCCATTGAGTATGATGTTGGCTGTAGGTTTGTCATATGTGGCCTTTATTATGTTGATTATGACCCTCTATTTCCACTTTACTGAGAGTTGTTTTTTTTTAATTAAAAAGGGGTGTTGGATTTTGTTGAATGTTTTTTCTGTGTCAATTGATATGATCATGTGATTTTTATCTTCCAGTTTATGTGATGTATCACATTTATTCATTTGTGAATATTGTACCAGCCTTACATTACTGCACTTGATTGTTAAAGGACTTAGATAATCTTTCAGAAATATAGCTATTTATAAGCCAGACTTCATAATGATTTAGTAGTGATGAACCTAATGGTATAATGAGCTATTTTTTTAATTTTATTATTATTATTTTTTTTAGCTGATGCTTTATTTATAGTTAGGGGCAAACAAGGTAGTTCACAATGTTCTTTTTAAAAAATATATATTTTATTGACTTTTTTACAGAGAGGAAGAGAGAGATAGTTAGAAACATTGATGAGAGAGAGAGAGAGACATCAATCAGCTGCCTGTTGCACACCCCCTATGGGGAATGTGCCCACAACCAAGGTACATGCCCTTGACTGGAATCGAACCTGGGACCTTTTAGTCTACAAACCAATGCTCTATTCACTGAGCCAAACTGGCTTCGGCATAATGAGCTATTTTTATTGTATATGCATGCAAGTATTTTATTAATTTGAAAACTGCTTGGAATAAGTACCTGTATGTGGAAGGATATAAATTTTCACAGAAATTGCATGATAATATTTTCTAAAGAATGAGAATCCTATTAAATGTCCTTTTATCTATAAAAGTAAGTTCATCGGTTAATCAGTGTGTCCGAGATTGGTAGGTGGTCACAGTTCATTGACACCAGCTTTGTCACGGCCAGATGTACATGCTGTCATTTACAGAGGCCTCAGTGCTGGGAAGTGAAGACTTGGATTCTCTGCCTGGCTCACCAGTCACCATAAGTCAGTGGAGACTGTGTTCTGAACTCCCCAGCAGTGAGCTTACAGTACGAATTGTTTTTTTCCTGGGAGTAGGGAATTCTTTCACACTCTTCACAGTCTGTTTACAACCAGTACACACACTGGCAAGTTGACCAGCAAGGTGGCTTTGTCCGTGACCAAATGGTTAAGAATCTCATCAACCTCAGTCACTTTAGCACCAGTCTGTATCACCAGCACAGCTAACCCAACAGTGATATTACTCTGAAATACCAAGGGGTTCCTTCAGATCTCTGATTTCATAAGGATTGCATAGTCATTGTCAACAGGGTGGCCTAGTTTTATAAGCTTGTTCCTTCATTTTTTCTTTTAACAAGAACACTTATTGTGAATCTACTATGTGCCAGGCACTGTTACGGGATTGCAGATGCAATAGTGAATGCAACAGGGCAGGGAAAATAACCCTGCTGTTGCAGAACTTAAGTTCCAGTAAGGGATACTTGCACCTACAGTGTCACATACATAAACATGTACATATGTGTACATATACATATGTATAGTAAGAGCACCAAAATATAAGGAAGGGAAATGAGAAGTTGTGGGTTGGGGAATGATGTTGAACCTCCGACAGGGTGGCCAGACAAGACCTCACTAAGATCAGTTCTTTGATATAAACTCCTAAAGGAAGAACATGGTCTGGAAGAAGTCTCTCAGACATGGTTAAGTATTCTTAACTTGGGGTCTATGGAGTTTGTATGGGGGAAATAGTGCATCTTAATTTTTAACTAACTAACCGAAATTTATTTCTTCCAAATCATGAATGTAGATAACCATTTGTAGCACTATTAGGAGAGCCTGTAACTTTGTCACAGGTAGCCATCACAGATAGGTTCATATCACACACCGTGACTGTAAACATCTCAAAATATTATTTGTGCTCATCCCTGCTTATAAATTATGATAGTTCAGCCTTGCTGTTAAATACTGTTATTTAATAAAGAAGCACATATCACAATTTAAAAAAAAAACACCTGTTTTTAATAATTACACTTCAAAGTGAGAGATTTCCTTGTATCTCTGTGTATTGTAGCTCATGAATTTTCAGACATCCTGAGAAAGAGGCTAGCACTTCACCGAATTGCCTACGGAGGCTCCTGGCATAGAACTGTTAAGCTTCAGTGTAATCCCTGACTGAGCGCTTTCCTCCACCTCCCACAGGGGCGGCACACTCTGCATTTGTTCTCCTCTCGCGGAGATTACTCAGATACATCCTGAGCCGACGGGGAGGGTTTTCTGGGTAATTCCACACATTGTGACTGTGAAAGACCCATCTTCGCTTCCTGTGTAACGCAGGCCACACACTGTGAAAACACTTGCCGAACAACGCAGCAAGTCCAGCAGAAATTCGGCTTCTTGGAAAAATGGCAGTTTAATACTTCACAGATCAGCTTTTAGGCTTCTCCGAAAGTTACCCAAAGGGCCTTCCAGGCAGTGCCGTTTATTTGATGAGAAGGAGATGTAGAAATAGAATTGGTTCATTTCACTCATGTTCATCATCTTTTTAGCCAGTGTCTGCATCACGGTGTTGACCCGGAGGGTCTGTCCCGATTGAGAGGTCCTAAGCCATGGACCATGCCACCTTCGCCTTGACCAGCCTGTGGGACATAGGAAGGGACATACACGTTTGAGGGTTTTAGTGAGGCAGTCACAGGCACAGGACCTCATGCAGGTGGACAGAGGAGGCGAGCCCTAGGTAAATGGGTATGCCAGAGAATTCTGCCTTGCTGCTACATGTTGTGTGCTTCAGACCTCTGAATCTATTCGTCTACCTCTCAGCAAGAGGGAAAAATCAAATGCAAAAATTCCCAGCATCTTGATATTGCTGGGAACGTCAAACGAGAAATTCTGTAATTTTCACATTCCACTTGACGCTGGTCCAAGGTAGAGGGAAGTTGATTCTGTATCATTAAACTGCCTGGGTTCTGTCTCCGGTTGTGTCCTTTAGCTCTGAGTGACAGACACACAGAAGGTGTGATGACAGCTGTGAGCCCCGTGGCCCTCACTTGCCGGCTTCTCTTCCTCTCCAGGCTGGTGAAGGATGCTTCCTGGGATGAAGTCCCGCTCGCCCACTCCCTGGTGGGCTTTGCCACTGCCTACGACTTCCTGTACAACTACCTGAGCAAGACGCAGCAGGAGAAGTTTCTCGAAGTGATTGCCAATGCCTCGGGCTATATGTATGAAACCTCGTACAGGAGAGGATGGGGCTTTCAATACCTGCACAACCATCAGCCCACCAACTGCATGGCTCTGCTCACAGGAAGCCTCGTTCTCATGAACCAAGGTGCGTGCGGGCTCCCATGAGTCGTGGTTGCCATGTTGCGAGCAAAGCATTTAAAAATATTTTTTAAATTGATTTCAGAGAAAGGAAGGGAGAAGGGAGATAGAAACATCAATGATGAGAATCATTGATCGGCTGTCTCCTGCATGACTCCTACTGGGCATTGAGCCTACAGCCCAGGCATGTGTCCTGTCCGGGAATTGAACTGTGAGCTCCCTGGTTCATGTGTCAGTGCTCGACCACTGAGCCACACCAGCCAGGCATGAGCAAAGCATTTTTATAATTAGTCTTCGTACATGTTCATACTTGATCCTAAGTCTAGGAGGTAAAGTAATAGCTAGGGCATCTCTTTGAGAATTGAGAGACATCTTCCTTCATTTCTGCTAGTTATATTAGCATGAAGGTTATTTAATTATGGCTTTTTGATTGTCCCAAGCCATGTTTTTAAAATATGTTTGTATTGATTTTAGAAAGAAAGGAAGGGAGAAGAAGGAGAGAAAGAAACACTGATGTGAGAAACATCTATCAGTTGTCTCCTGCATGCCCCCTACTGGGGATTGAGTTCACAACCCTGGCATGTGCCCTGACTGGGACTCCAACCAGCGACCCTTTTGTGCACGGGACAACGCTCAACCACATGAGCTACACTGGCTAAGGCCCAAGCCATATTCTTACAGCACAGGACCAGTGGTAAATACTGAGTTTTCCAGAGAATTTTGACAGTGAAGACAGCCAGCCTGGATAAATGGAGTTTTTAAAAGCTAAACAGGTGGCTTACTATTTGAAATGAATATTCCTTGCACAGATATGTATCATTACATCAGTACTCTTATTCTCTAAAGACTTCAAACTATCCACGTGGATCACTTAGGTCAAAATTGGAAGTAACTTTTGTGGATTGTATAGCTATTTTGCCTTAATGTATAACATAATTGCTAGTATTATATTTTCTTGGTTCTTATAATTCTGTCTTAATTACAACTCTAGTGGAAGTCTATAAATGACTAAATAAGATTATATTTAAGAAACGGAGCTCTAAGAACACAGTGAATTAGAAGGATATTAAACATATACTTGGAGCTGGCAAGTCTAAAAGGATTTAACTATTGTATTCCCTATAAGAATATGAATTCTCACATCAACCATATAAAGTAGCTGGGATTTTTTAACCCACTTCTGGTCAAACTCAAAGTTCAACCTCTTTCCACTATATTTTGTTGCCTCTCTGGGAATAGAAATTTAATTTCTATCAATAAGGAAAGCTTAATTAAGAGAGTGAATTTTCATGCTAGCTTCCTTTGCCCCCTACTCTCACAAAAGCTAAATTTAATCCCACGGTCTGTGGCTCGTTCAGATTGTAGCAAAATTTGTACGACTTTCCTGGTAGGAGTTTTCATATGTATTTTTTCCCTGATTGACATTATTTATAAGGAGCCTGGGTAGAAGAGGGGTGAAATCTCTGGTTTTGCATAAACTCAGTTATGCTGGTAGTCCTCACTTTCTTGGCATACTTTCTCCAATGTTAGGTGCTACTGTCAGGTTGTTCAAATATTCCATGTTCTCCAGACCAGCCTGCAGTACGGGGGTAGCGTAGAGCACACCTGTAGTTACACTGGATTCACATAAAATCTCCAAAGAGGGAGAATTGGACTTTTCTGTCTGTTCTGCTAACCCTATCTAAGCCTTGGTTCACAGAAACCACAGGACCACATGTAAGCAGTTTACAAATCAAGAGGAAAGAAGAGAGATATGAAATGTTCAAATGATTACCCAATAGTTATTAGAGCACTAGGGAATTAAATAAGAGGTATCACAAAGTTATGGTTACATATCCATTGAGTATATTACGTTTGAATTCAAAAGAACAATATTCTTTAAGTGAGCTTGAGAAGGTTCATGGAACTTTGAAGGATGGATAGGATTTGATAAGTGAAAACAATGAAGAACATTCTAGGTAAGGTTTGTGTATGGTGGAAACACACCATCAGTAACAACAATGGTACATTATATGACAAATTTGAAGTTTGCAAAATATGTTGGGGGACATTGCCTTATCTCCTGAACAGGTTTTTATAAGGAAAAAAAACCCAGGAAAATCAGACGATGTGATGTCTTGGGAGCAGAGAGCATCAGTTGCCTTGGTGTCTGGTTGCAGATAGAGGCTACAGAGAGGGGAAATATGAAGATGATTGGAATTTTAAACTCTAACGATCAGAGAACGGAAATTGAAAAGTATTCCAAAGATTGCATGCCAGGGGTGGAGCTGGGTGGGAAGATTGGTCCAGGGCACAATTAACAGTCATCTCTGACCAGCAAGCCTGAGAACGGTGTTTCCACATGAGGCAGGACTTACTTAGCCTGAGTCTGGAAGCCCCAGCACACTAGTAGCCATGAGGGAGTACACAGCACTGATGGTCGCACACATGACTGTGGGAGTGAAGTAAGACTCCACCCACATCAGGAGGCAGTGAGCTTAATTTTATCTTCAGGAGTTGTGTGTTTTAAATACAAGAAAACAAACCTTCAAGCCCAAGCCCAGGGCTCAGACCAGAGTTCTCTTCCTTTTCAGTCATGTGTCTGAGGTCTTGAACAAGTCAACCTTTCTGTAACTTTGGGAGTCATAATGCATCATTGAGCTATTAAAGGGATTAAGTAGGATTATGTTCAGTGTTGTGTAAATTACAAATGTCATAAAAATGTGAGGAGTTGTTATTGTTACTTAAATGCTAGTCTCGCAAAAATTACAGAAAGCTAGCATTTATGTTCTAAGGATTTTGAAAAAGTGTTTAGCCCTTTAATTTTCATTTGGGGAGACTGAGGAATGTGACAGGTTGAAGAGATGCTTGAACAAAACCACATAGCTAATTTTTGGCAGCTTCTGGACTCCCGGCTGATGTTTTTGGTCCTTAAGTTGCCACTTCAATGGTTCCTTCACCCCACTGGGCTGCCTTTTCAGATCCCAGGGAACCTAAAAACACAAAAGAATGTGAGAAATTGTTGTCTGCGGATAGAACAAATTGAAGACTGCCCGTTTAGCTTTTGTAGTATTTGTAGTTATTACAAATCCTATAAAATAATGGTAAAAGTTTTATAAAGTGATAGACTTCAAAAATATATTCAAGTAGTAGTTCTTAGTAAAACTGAATCAAAAGTCTTAATATACAGATATTTTCCTGCCAGCATAAAGTGATGTGCAATTTGTGATCTTGGACGTAGTGTGGTTTCAATTTATTAAAGATTGGAAAATGACTGATGTTCACTTAAAGGTTTATCTTCGTATAATTAATAAATGACCTGTATTCAAGAACTTCTTAACTTACATCCACAATCCCGGATTAGCAGGATGATCTTTATAACATTGATAAGCAGGAGTTTTACAAAATGCAGTTGGTAATATAAAGTAGTCAGATAACCCAGAGGGTTTTATTTGACTGCATTTTTGTTAATGTTCGCTGCCGTCCGAGTCATTGTTTCCACGTGTTTCCACCCTCCAGGGTATCTTCAGGAAGCCTACTTGTGGACCAAGCAGGTTCTGACCATTATGGAGAAGTCTCTGGTCCTGCTCCGAGAGGTGACAGACGGCTCCCTCTATGAAGGGGTCGCCTACGGCAGCTACACCACCAGATCCCTCTTCCAGTACATGTTCCTCGTCCAGAGGCACTTCGACATCAACCACTTCGGTCACCCATGGCTTAAGCAGCACTTTGCCTTTATGTATAGAACCATCCTGCCAGGTGTGGTGAGGAACTGCAAGTTGGTCAACGTTAACTATTGTCATTTTTCCTGATTATGAAAATGGGCTACAGAAATGTGGGGTTTGAGCCATATTGCAATTCGAGGGATTAAAAAAAAAAATCAAAATAGAATTCAATGTAAGAGTTAGACAGCCAGAACATCTTGGGAGTTAACGGGAGGATTTGTGATCTTGTAAAGCTTGGAGCATGATGGATCAAATGGAATGTGCACCCGACACAGAACTTTTATTTTTGTATGTGTAAGCCATGCATACATGTACAAAACAGAATATAGTAAGCATTTATGATTACATGCTCATTTTCCTTTATATGTGACCCCTGATCAATCCTATTTTGGCTTTTAGTTAATAATTTTTTTCTCCCAAACTATATAGACCTGATTCAAAATGAAATATTATACCTATGTATGTAAGTTGGGACTTTAGTATTTTCTTTAAATATTTTATTGAAATAAATAATACAAAATATAGGAATATAGCCAGAAAGTGAATTTGTATAAAACTAGTGTCTTGTTGCTGTGAAGCTTAGTCTTCTAAGAGAACTGGCTCAAAAAAAATTATATATGATTTAAGAACCGATTTATTTCTAAGAGAGCCTTGTAACTCTTATTTCTAAACAGCACTTAAAAAAAATTTAGAAGGTGGTTTTTCATCAAGATGGGTTTCCCTCCTCTCTCCAGTGAAATGAAGTTTTCAGATGATGATTCTAGAATTACAGTAAAAAATTCAGTATTTAATTCTTTTTGCTGTGGTTGTATACACATGGATTGGAAAGAATCTCCATTATTGGGTTAGTTTTTAAAAAATAATACAGAACAAAAGAACCATATTAAAATTTAGTTTAGACTTTACATTCAAAACTGTCTTATTGCTTATTCTTAGACATACCAGAGTGACCTATTCTATAGTTTATGTTGATAACCAAAGGTCTTTAATGGTCACAGTGTTCTGTAATTTGAGCTGAGATTTAACAGCCAACCATGGCAGGGCTGGGGTCTGCTGTGAGCTGTGTATGAAGCTGCTTCTCAAGCTGGAAAAGACAGCATGAACTAAGAAGAGGATTCAAATACTTGTGTCCATTAACGCAACAGACCTTTCTTGAGCACCTGTGTGGTGGGTAGGAGATTCAAAGAGGAATAAAACAATATCATCTGCTTTCAAAAGATTCAGAAAATCACATTTTATAATAAGACTTATTTAGAAAAGCAATTACTAGACTGTTAGAAGCAAAAATACTAGCTGTGAATGACGGAAATGCAGTCATGGTGACATTTGGGAGAAATTCTGCATTCAGTCAATCTGCTTCAGCCTTTCTCTTTTTTCTCTCCAGCGGCTATTCTGGTGACTAGCGCTGTCTGACCCAGAGTTTCCCCCCTCCCCTTTTTTTTTTTTTTAAGAATATCTAGAACATATCATGTCTTGCCTGCTTTTATTTTTCTGACCCATTTCAGTATATTTGCTTTTCCTCTCTTTCCTTTAACGTCCAGCAATACAGACTAGCAGGATCTCTGTGGGAATTGAGTTTTCTTCCTGTGGAAACTCAGGTTCTCCCCCATATCTTATAACTCTTGCTCGATTGGAGGGCAAATTGAGGCATTTTTGCTACTGTTTTGGTGTAGGATGTGGGATGAGTTGGTAGGAGAGCTGTTGCTCATTTGAGGTCCAGGAACTCACCATGCACAAGAGGAGAGTGTATGTATCTGTGCAAACATAGCTGCACATAGTATGGATCCTAGAAATTGAGGAAGGTGGACAGTGTATGTCATTAGTGTGGCATTCTCATCACCAATGACAGGTTACCACATAACAAATACACACTTGCGCACGAGATTTGTGGAAGACCTTAATTGGTTGGGGTGGAGTGTGGGCCTTGTGGCTTCATTTGTCATTTTTATCCAAGATACACACTTGTTTCTAGTTTGCAGGCAGGATTGAAAATCATCGTGTAGACCTTTATGGGAACGTACAGCTTTAAACTTAGTTCTGTCAAACTTTTCTCCTTAGGATTTCAGAGGACGGTGGCCATTGCAGACTCCAATTACAACTGGTTTTATGGCCCAGAGAGCCAGTTAGTGTTCCTGGATAAGTTTGTCATGCGAAATGGCAGCGGTAACTGGCTGGCTGACCAGATCAGGAAGAACCGAGTGGTGGAAGGCCCGGGGACCCCCTCCAAAGGGCAGCGCTGGTGCACGCTCCACACGGAATTTCTCTGGTAGGACACGTGCCTAGGCTTTGGGGAGAGATTGTACCCAGGGGTACGGGTGTGCTCATTTTTTGCCTTTAAAAAAACACCACAAAAACTAGTCTAAAGCACTTTATGCCACCTCAGCACTTGCAAATTCAATTCCTATCAGTGTTTGAAACTCTGCTAGAAACATTTCCTGACATTTAAATCTAATGACTGTTTGCAGTTTGATTTTCGTATGTTAGAGATGTCCGAGGCTCACTGTTTTACAGCTATGGCTGTTTTGATTTACATCATTTTTGAAATTGTATAAAGAGAAACCCATTAACTAAATTTGACTGGGTTATCTGATAATCACACCCCAAAAAAGGTAAGTAAAATGTTTTGTTTGGGGAAATGAAGCATTATAATCTGCTAATAGCAAAGCTATTTCTAAATTTTCAAAACTAAAAGTGTTTGACAGTTTCACTTTGATAATCAAAGAACCATGTAATATATTTTTTTGCCTTAATCTTTTAAGCCAGAAAGAGAACCAGGAAGAGAACCTTTTTAAAGTTCTGCCAAATATATTACCGGCATCCAATAAATGAAGATAAAAATTCCAGGGAACTAGTTGATAATTAATCTCTTATGTCTTTTCAAGCTTTTGACACTTGCATTCAACTCCAAATTAAACTTCTGTGGTGTGATTGCTTCCCTTCATTATTTTTTTAAATTTTAAACAGTTAAGAGGAAAATAACACTATAAAAGAGGTAACTGTCTCTAGTTTAACCAGCATTTTTAAAAACTGTATTCACAGGTGAACTAAATATATTACTATGTACAAGAGGCAGCTGGTCGATGTTTCTCTCTCATTGATGTTTCTAGCTTTCTATCTCTATCCCTTCCTCTCTGTAAAAAAATCAATAATATATATATATATATATATATATATATATATATATTTATTTTTTTTAATTTTTTTTTTTAACAGAGAGGAAGGGAGAGAGGGGGAGAGAGTTAAAAACATGGATGAGAGAGAAACATCCATCAGCTGCCTCCAGCACGCCTCTTACTGGGGGTGTGCCCGCAACCAAGGTACATGCCCTTGACTGGAATTGAACCTGGGACCTTTTGATTCCCCATGCCAATGCTCTAGCCACTGAGCCAAGCCAGTTAGGGCTTACTATGTTTTCATTTTCCCATAAATAAGCAACGTAAAGAGTGCTATCATGCTGACAGTAGGAGTCAGATTCGTGCTCAGTCTGACCTGGTTCAAAACCTGCTTGATAGGAGTATGCCAACTGGCCAAAAACAGAAAGAAGGATGGAAAATGCAGCTAGTGTCTGGATTTGGTAAATCACAAAAGGAAGCCAAACTGATTATACCAGGCCTGAGGAGAAACACGTTTTCTGATGTTCTGAAACGGAGACTAGAACAACAGATGAAACAGCCGCACACACCAATAAGATGAACTCTGCCATACGCGATTGATTCACTGTAGAACAGTGTCTGCGAGCAAATGACACAGGCCTGCCTTTCTGCCCATGAGCAGGAAATTATAGGAACCTGTCAAGGCTGTTATTTCAAATCCTCAAAAGCAAACCATCATGTTTATTACTGTGTTTGTGGCCTTTCTGAATAAAAAACCTGTGTTTTTAATCACTTGGAAGTCTAATGTTAATTTTTTTATTACTTGATAATAAACATTTTTCCTAATTAACAGGTCATTTATTGTCCAAAATGCATGACATCATCTGTAAATTGAAATAAAACCTTCAGATTAGAAATCCTCAGTATTAATAGTTTCCTGAATTTCATCTATTTATATTCTTAGGTGTGGTATTCACAGTAAATTGTATCTCATATGTGAAGTTCAACTCTATTTACATGAAATTTTAGAGGGTAAAAAATACTCTGCCAAACTTTAATAGTGCTACTTGCTGTTTTCAAGGTGTGTTAGGTTCTAGATCCTAAAAATAAAGCTCCCTAGACTAGGAGCCCCTCAAGCTAGAAGTTTGGAGGAAGTGCTTAATTTTAAGACCCATGAGCCCCAGGCCTTTGGACGGCAGCTCTGACTTGGTTACGTGAACAAGGTTCATATAGTCATGAGCAGCAGTCATCATTTCAGGCTCAAGTCCAAGGGTGGCCTGCTGTAGAGACTTTCTGCTCTCCTTCCACCAAGGGTGTCAGTCCCCCCGCTCAGTGTGACCTCCCACGGGCGTTCTCAGAAACGTCCCTACTACGGTCAGCACTGCCGGCGCTCCGCGTCGGTCGCATCGGTGTGTTCCGCTGTGCTATCCTCCCTCCCGCCAGAAAACCAGTTAACTTTCTTCCATGAATCCTCTCAGGTACGATGCCAGCCTGAAGTCCGTCCCCCCTCCGGACTTCGGCACCCCCACGCTGCATTACTTTGAAGACTGGGGCGTCGTGACTTATGGGAGCGCGCTGCCCGCGGAGCCCAACAGGTCCTTCCTTTCCTTCAAGTCGGGGAAGCTCGGGGGGCGAGCCATCTACGACATCGTCCACCGGAACAAGTACAAGGACTGGGTCAAAGGCTGGAGGAACTTCAACGCGGGGCACGAGCACCCCGACCAGAACTCGTTCACGTTCGCTCCCAACGGCGTGCCCTTCGTGACCGAGGCGCTCTACGGGCCCAAGTACACCTTCTTCAACAACGTCCTCATGTTCTCCCCGGCCGCGGCCAAGACCTGCTTCTCCCCCTGGGAGGGCCAGGTCACGGAGGACTGCTCGTCCAAATGGTCTAAGTACAAGCACGACCTGGCGGCCGGCTGCCAAGGCCGGGTGGTGGCCGCGGAGGAGAAGGATGGCGTGGTCTTCATTCGGGGAGAAGGCGTGGGGGCCTACAACCCCCGGCTCAGCCTGAAGAACATCCAGAGGAACCTGATCCTCCTCCACCCGCAGCTGCTGCTCCTTGTGGATGAGGTCCACCTCGGGGAGGAGAGCCTCGTGGAGACGGCCACCAGCTTCTTCCACAACGTGGACCTCCCCTTCGAGGAGACGGTGGTGGACGGGGTGCACGGGGCGCTGCTCCGGCAGCGGGACGGGCTCTACAAGATGTACTGGATGGACGACACCGGCTACAGCGAGAAAGCCACGTTTGCTTCGGTGACGTACCCCCGGGGCTACCCCTACAACGGGACCAACTTCGTGAACGTGACCATGCACCTGCGAAGCCCCGTCACCCGGGCGGCCTACCTCTTCATCGGGCCCTCCGTGGACGTGCAGAGCTTCAGCATCCACGGCGACCCCCGGCAGCTGGACGTGTTCGTGGCCACCGGGGAGCACGCCTACGCCGTGTACCTCTGGCCGGGCGAGGCCCCGGGCCAGGCCGCCTTTGCACAGGTCATCGCCGATCGCCAGGAGATCCTGTTTGGCCCGAGCGCGGCCGTCCAGAGCGCCGCGGTCCCCGAGGTGAAGGACTACGCGGCCCTCGTGGAGCGGAACCTGCAGCGTTTCAAGCCGGTGTTCCAGCTGCTAGAGAAGCAGATCCTGTCCCGCGTCCGCAACACGGCCGGCTTCAGGAAGACGGCCGAGCGCCTGCTGAGGTTTTCCGACAAGAGGCAGACGGAGGAGGCCATCGACAGGATCTTTGCCATATCCCAGCGGCAGCAGCAGCAGCAGCAGCAGCAGCAGCGCAGGTCCAAGAAGAACCGCAGGGGAGGCAAACGCTACAAGTTTGTGGACGCCGTCCCCGATATTTTTGCACAGATCGAAGTCAACGAGAGAAAGGTTCGGCAGAAAGCCCAGATCCTGGCCCAGAAAGAGCAGCCCATCGATGAAGACGAGGAAATGAAAGACCTTTTGGATTTCGCAGACGTGACGTACGAGAAGCACAGACACGATGGCCTGATGAGAGGCCCGTTCGGGCAGGCGCGGGTGGTGACGGCCGCGCACAGCAGAGCCCCGGCCCTGTCCGCTTCCTACACCAGGCTCTTCCTGATCCTGAACATCGTCATCTTCTTCGTCATGTTGGCCATGCAGCTGACTTATTTCCAGAGGGCCCAGAGCCTGCACGGCCAAAGGTGTCTGTATGCCGTCCTCCTGATAGACAGTTGTATTTTATTGTGGTTGTACTCGTCTTGTTCCCAGTCACAGTGCTAGCACTGAAGCTGTCAATCCCTCAGTCATTTGTGGTCACAAATCGATGCCAAAAAAATCGTCCCAGCTATTGGGTTTTCCCCCCTCAGATTCATTTTAACAAATTAAGGGGAAGATGTCTTTACACAAGAAAGCAAGGGCACAGAGAAATCAAAATTGAAGTAGGTAAAGGATTTGTCAAAGGAATAAAAGTAGTTTGGATGTCACATGATGTTTCTGGAAATGTTTGGCTTGACTAATGGTCCATATACTACTATTCGTAAACACAAAGTCTGGTTTTAAGTAATTTTTAAGAAACAAAGAAGATTTGTAATTAAATTTTATTAATATTAACTTAATGCCATTAGCAATCTTCAGATCCTGTTTTATGAAAAGACTGAAGCACACAATTCTGAGAAATACAGACTTTTTAAAAATGGTGTAGCCATGCTTAAAAAATGTGGCTAAGTCCTGGTATGGCCGAGCCATCTTCCTGGGAGAGTAGTTCCTTAGTGAAGTGAATAACAACACTTCTGTATTGAATTATTATTCAGATAACATGGTAAAATGATGGCAGAAAATTCATTAAAAAGTTAAGATTATATTTCCAGTAGAATACACGTATGTATGAATGACAGTTTTCTTAACGATGTCCATGTCTGCACACACGTAACTGATTGCGTTTATGCATCCACTGGTTATTTAGATAAGATAATTCCAGATAACTTGACTTCCTATTTTCTTTATATGGAAACTTGCTGTGGACCTAATGGCTAAACTTCAAAATAAAATGTTTTATATCCTGAACATTGACTTTAATACCAAAGAAGATGGGGAAGCTAAAATTTGGATATGATTCTTATGTTTTTTAAAAGAAGTTTTTCTTTAAATTTATTTTGTTTAATAAACATCATAATTGTGATTTTTCAATAGTATCCGTCGTCTTTGTTCCATTCCATTGAGCAGCAGTTTTGAAAACTTTGAAGAGAAATGTTTATTTGGGCATTCATTAATTAAACTTATAAAGTAGTATTTGAATTGAAAGAAGAAATTTCTCTGCTTATTTGCCTTTCTGTTGTTTAAACATTTCAAACAAAAGCCAACTTCTGATATTTGAGTAATGCCATGCTTTTAAAAGCATAAAGTTTTCTTATTTATTTGCAGTCAAGTCCTCAGGAGATTAACAACAGCACAGAGTACAGTACTGGAAACATATTCCACAGTTTATACTTTGGCATAAGACAATGATATACTTAAAAGGAACTGAAGAGTAAATTAATTGTCTTACATTCAGCATAGTTGACTTGTCCATTTCTCCCCTGAAAATGTGTTTGGCTCACATTTTACATTAAGGTCATATTCACTGACTTGTATATTTGAAGTCTTAATTAATGGTGATCTTTTCCTTTCACGTCTCTTTTTTGTTTGAAAACAAGAACACAGAGAAATTCTTATGAGCACCTTTTTTTGCGGTTCTAATTTTTAACCTTCTTACATAAATGAAACCCACGTTTGGCTTTTAACTGTGCTTCACTCATTATACTTGGAATCTAGAACATGACTGATGGGGAAGTATTTTTTTTTCTTTCATGGAAAAGGCCTCCAGGGAGGATGTCATTACACACTGTTTAAAAGAATAATGTTTTCAAAAGAAGAATGCTTCCGTTCGTCCTGCATGGATGCTGTTACTGGGATTTAAACTTGCTTTATGTGACAGATTCTCCGTTTACTTAACCCCGTTCGACATTCCTCTCTCCTACTCTTTCTCATTCAAAACCATGAATTGTCTGAAATGATCAAAAGCAAATTTTGGAGAAAAAAAAGGGGGTGGGGATTGCCCTTGGAGGCTACCAAGCAAACCTGATCTGAGATCCAAACACTCAGGCCTACTTTCTAATCGTGATGAAAAGTGTAAGCAAGTGCCAAATCCAGCTTTCCTTCTGTTTTCATTAGTTTAAGGGCAGATGACAAATTAGTTAAAAGTAATTTTTTAGAATGTTGTCATCATGCATCTTTAAAAACAATGAGTGGGCTTTTTACCTTTCTAGTGGACCTCATATATACTTCACTTAAAAAGCAATTTCCACAGGCAGTGACTTACGTGGGAGAGGGAAAAATCATGCTGAAGCTAATCACTGCTCTTCAGACGGGCATGTTTTATATCAGGGCTTGTGCATAGCTGATGAAGACTAAGGAGCTCTTTGTGTCTTCCAGAAAACCCAGCAATGTTAAATCCCCCTTGTAACTGCGTGATCAACTATGGAATCTGTTTCTGTGCTGCTCGCTCTGAAAGAAGTGTTTCAAGTTCATGGGATAATCTGTGAGCTGTTGTTCAGGGCATTGGCAGGACTTTCGGTCCCAGGCTTAGAGAAAATTTGGGAATCCTTAGCATACAGAGCTTGTCTGTGCAGCGGAAGGGACATATTCCCCTTTTGGTAACTGATTAAGTAATAAATAGCCATGATGATCAATGAGATCTGTTATCTGCTGAAAGGACATTCTCTTAAGATCATTGTCCTGATTGACAATGAAGTCAGAAGGAAAACCTTATTCTGTGACTTTTTAATAATGAAAATGTATTGTCTAGAATATTGAATTAGTTCATGACATTTGTCCTAACTTAGTAAAAGGACCCAATGTCCTAAGGTTATTAGAAAATTGTTTTAATAGATTATGCTCACTGAATAATATGTTTTAAAAAGAAGAGTTTACATATCACTGTTTTTAAAAATTTCTTCATAGTTCACAAGCCACCCACAAAGGAATCTTAAATTTCTCCAAACTTTTAAGAGGATTCAAGTTATGAAACATACAGGAGTGGGTAAAAACAGATTAGTAATAGTAATAATATGCTAATCTTACATAATAATAGACAAACATGTAAATTGACCATATCTCCACTATGCCCACAGCCAATCAGGAGTGAGTATGCAAATTAACACGACAAAGATGTTGGGTTAATTTGCATAGGGAGGGAAGGGCACCTGCTATGAGGGGGAGGGAAGGGTCGGTGGAGGGAGCTACAGGAGTGGTACTCTGGCCAGGAGTGAGGACTTGCAGTCTCCTGGGCTGCCGGGAGTGAAGCCAGGGGAAGGAAGGTTTATTCTTGCACAAAGTATCATGCAATGGGCCTCTAGTTAATAGCACAAGAAGACCAAACAACAGATATAAACTAAGACAGTCATAGGAAAACTAGAGTATATGATCATCTGTGTCAGAGATTAATTCAGGAAATAAAAGGGGCTAGGGAGGTGTGTGAAGGTCCAGCTTTAAGTTTAGTGCTAAAATAGGAACTTGTGCTCCGATTGAGTCTCTAAAACCTGCACATGAAGAAGCTGGGCTCAAGCAAAGGGCTAACCTCTCTCCTGTTCCCTGCCCTGTGTTTATCCCTGTGCTTAGTTCTTTTTCTGGGCACAGACCATTGACTTGGCTCTCTCTTCTTTAAGTTCATGTTGAGAAGAGGTCAGTTTCTGCGGCTTATTTAGCTTACTGGCAAAGATGGCCTCTTTACCAGCCACATTTCAGCTAGATATTTGCTTTATGCTACAGAACTTCCACAAGATACTGACTAGTTTTCAGGAAATGGCAGAGAAAGCATGTATTTCACTACATGGCCTAAGTACTTAATTTTGGGTCATTTAATGGACAGGTTTGAACACTGCTAACCAAGATGTCATCACAATGTGAAGAGTAGAAGTTGAAGTTGCATTATAACTTTCCTGTTATTTTTCTTAGCGTTGCAGCTTCCCTCCATGTTTTGTGTGTGTGTGTGTGTGTGTGTGTGTGTGTGTGTGTGTGTGTGTGTGGTTTTGAAAAATCCTTGAGGTGGTACTGATGTGCCCCCCATTTTCCATACACTCACTCTAAGGGATGGTTTCCTCCTAGTTGAAACTCAGTGCAAGCAGTGGGGAGCCAATTTTCTTTCTTTTTTTAGCTTTTATATTGAATTTATTGCCATAAAATTGGTTAAGATAATTATATAGCTTTCAGGTGTGCAATTCTATAATACATCATCTGTATATTGTATTGTGTGTTCACCACCCCAAGTCAAATCTCCTTCCATTACCATCCATCCCCCTATATCATCTTCTACCTCCTCCCTACCCCCCTTTCCATCTGGTAATCACCATACTGTTGTCTGTGTCTGTGAGTTTCTTTTTTCTCCTTCTTAATCTCTTTACCATTTTCACCCAGGCCCTCAATCTCCCCGAAACAAGATTTTCTTTTTTCAATAATCAGATTCACAATTTGCTTTAGCTTTGCCATAGAGGTAGACCCAATGGGGGAGCGAGTAGGAAGCTATTTTGATCATCTAAGTAAGAGATAACCAGCTTCTTAACTAAGTCCAGAGAGGGACTATTTAAGGCCTAGCTCACAGGTAAAACACGTGACCAAAGGAATGTATATTTTGTGGGAGTATTGGTCAAAAGATGATAAACTTAGGGACACCTAGGATGTATGTATCTCTCAGTCCCATTTACTAGAGAAGAACATGGTTGCGTGCCATGGCTCTGCCCGTTCCCTGACTTCCTCTTAATAAACCTAGGAAACTGTCCATATCTTCCTGCCATTCTTATTTTAAGCCAGTTTGTTTTCAGCAGGAACTCCTCCTGGACTGAGTGGAGGGATGCAGGGTGAATCCTGGAGGGTGATGGGAAACAAGCCTGGAAGTTAGAGAAGCGGCTGGAGGGGATGTCCTCCCTTGTCCCCTCCACTTTATTTTATTTATTTATTTTAAATATGTTTTATTGAGTTTTTACAGAGAGGAAGGGAGAGGGATAGTTAGAAACATTGATGAGAGAGAAACATCAATCAGCTGCCTCCTGCACACCCCCTACTGGGGATTGAGCCCATAACCCGGGCATGTTCTCTTGACCAGAATCAAACCTGGGACCCTTCAGTCCGCAGGCTGACGCTCTATCCACTGAGCCAAACCAGCTTGGGCTCCATTTTATTTTTCAAAAATAGTGCCAATTGAGCATTTGGATTAACCAGGCAATTGGAGTAACGTTGAGGTGGGTAAAGTTGATGCCACTCTGTCTCCAAGTCCCTCGCAATGAGCCGTGCCGAAGCCTTTGTCATGGGATTTGTCAGATCATAAGACTTCAGTGGTGGATCCCCAAGGAAACCCTCGTGACTGGAATGGGCCTTTGAAGCTTTGGTTTAAAGTAGAATTCCTTCAAACGAACGGATCCTAAAAACATTTCAGCCAGAACTTTCCAAATTAAACAATGAAAAGTGATTTTAGCATATATTTAAGGATTATTTTCTGGACGTACCTTCACTGGTTTAGACACCTTCATTTTCCCCTCAAAGAAATAGTAAAAAAGAATACCTTTCTGTGTGAGGGGAACATCTAGTCAGTTTTCCAGCGTTTGTTGTTTACCATGTTTTTATTTTGTCCAGGATAAGACACAGCTGGTACAATAAAAGTACCGTATTTTTCAGACCATAAGACGCTCCGGACCATAAGACGCACCAGTTTTTAGAGAAGGGAAATGAAGAAAAAAAGATTCTGAAACAAATAGTGTCCTAAAATATTTTATGTGCATTAAAACCCAACATCACAGTCATAAACACATGTAATCAACCCTGTAAAGTAAACAGCAGCATTTAGAACCATTTTAGAGCCGGGCAAGCACACAGAGACCACACAGAGCCGGGCAAGTAAAAAAAACTTTTTTTTTTAAGTATATGTGTAGGCTATATTTGGACCATAAGACGCAGGGACTTTTCCCCCCCACTTCTGGGGGGAAAAAAGTGCGTCTTATGGTCCGAAAAATACGGTAAGTCCCATTTACTGACTTCTGGTACAGATCATCTTGATTTCTTAGCTCCTTCACCCTGCTCACTGCAGAATTTGTTTTACTGTCAGAGGGCTGAATCTGTTATTTATTAGAGTTCTGAGGGGAAATTCTTGGA